CCAAATATCTTGGCTACATTATTGGTCGAGGTCTCATTAGGCCTCAGATCAATAAAATTGAGGCGATTCAAAAGTGGCCCCAACCTGTAAATAAAAAGCAAGTCCGGGCATTTCTGGGGATCACAGGATACTACAGGCAGTTTATACCCAATTTTGCAACCATTGCAGTCCCACTGACAGACCTGACAAAAGGTAGGGGGTCGGTCATGATTGAGTGGAATCCTGAGGCGGAGACAGCATTTCAAAGGTTGAAAAAAGTGCTTGTGCCCAACCTGTGCTTGTGACCCCTGATTTCACAACAGACTTTGTGGTACAGACTGATGCCTCTGATGTGGGACTTGGTGCTGTACTGTCCCAAATCAGAGAAGGAGAGGAGCACCCCGTGGTCTTCCTGAGTAGAAAGCTTAACAAACATGAGAGAAATTATGCAATTGTTGAGAAGGAATGTTTGGCCATCAAATGGGCCTTGGAGACCCTGAAATATTACCTGTTGGGAAGACAGTTCAGATTGGTTACTGATCATGCACCGCTCAAGTGGATGTGTGATAACAAGGAGAAAAATAGCCGAGTGACAAGGTGGTTTCTTGCTCTACAAGGGTTTAAATTTACAGTGGAGCACAGAGCGGGGAAACTGCAGAATAATGTAGATGCCCTTTCCCATATCCATTGCCTGGTTGGGACAGTTGCTCAGCCACAGTGGCTTGAGCAGAGGGGGGGATATGTGACAGTATGAATGGCGAGGTGATCGATGGACGCTATGTGCCACCTCGCATTCGGTCATACTTTGAAATTTAAGGTGGAGTCCACTCCGGGTTTTCAGGGTCACAATGGCAGAGGTGGTTCCGGACCGGATTTTGTAGTCCACTAATGACCACCAACAGGTGGTATAAATCAGGCAGGGCTGGAGCAAGAAGTCGCTCGTGGCCTGGGACTCAGAGAGCCATTCTGAGAGAGCTGTATGTGTGTTATACCAACAAGAAAAGGTTTGCATATTGTTTTTGGGTGACAGGGAGAAGCCCTTCACCTGTGAGAGAGGAACAGTTCTATGTTTAGTTTGTGCCTGGATGGCAAGGGTTTATTTTGCTGTTTTGTTTGTTTTGACATTTTTGCAAACCTGTGAATGAAACTGACAACCAGTCAGATTTTTAAGAAAGCCTGCTGTGCGGTCTACCTTTTTCCCAGGGAAGGTGATCCCCTACCTGAGCTAACCCAACAAAATATATATATATATATATATATATATATATATATATACACACACACATTCCATGGGGGACTGTGAATGTAAAATCGCGTTTACATTACCATGGATTGAAAGTTTACTTGGACATTCTGGATATTAATTTTAGATTTATTTCATACTTTGGATAATTTTTGTACACTGTTGAGCGCTGATTAAAACAAAAATTCTGAGTAATAGTGGTATACACTTGGACAGCTGCACCAGTTCTGACACTATTTTAGTTTGGGATAATGGGAATAGCCATAGCGCAGTTCATTCATTGGTTATATTTCTTTGCTAGGACAGCCTAGCAACCAATCACCTGCTGGTTAACTTGCAAATATTGCTAAAGCAGCTCCAGTGTTGCCCTCCATTTAGCACTGTTTTACCTTTCGCTCTGCTATTAAAAGAAGAACATCGGAGACTGGGGGGATGGAACAGCACAGCCCTGATCATGATCTATCCATCAGTTTCCCACGGGTAACAGGTTGTGAAACCCTGGTCTAGGGGGTATCGTTTTTTAATGCTTTATTGTAAGTTAGGGAGCTGTGGGATACTCCTGCAATACAGTGCAGTGACATGAGGACACTCTTCACTTTGTCAATGTTTCTTAGTACAGTCTCTTTACTAGCAACTAAGAGAATGAGAAGCACTGAGACACCATAAGAACTACGCCAGCTTACGTGAGTTCTTGCATTGATGCACAAGTGATAGTAGCAGCACATAGTCACTCAGGTCTACACTCACAATGTCTATGGATACTTGTATGTCTCTCTCCAATATCAGCCACACATTTCTCTTGTGAACTCTCTAGATCAGATCCTCAGTGAAATCCCTTTATCGGTTCCAGTATGTTTCAGCAGAAACAAACCCCTCCCCCCCCCCCTCAGCTCTAGCATAGCTTGGACCTTGATGAGTATATGTAAAAATACAGCTGGGCTGCTGGCGAGAAGGGCAATAGCCCTTCAGGCTGGGGACTTCTCCAGGACAAGAACAGGGCTGCCTCAAGCCCCAAACTATTTACGCACCCCTCAGCCACCTATTGGACATCCTTCCTCGGGGATAGGCTGAGACCACATACGTACAGTGTCTAGAAAAAGTATTCATACCGCTTTAAATTTTCCACATTTTGTCATGTTACAACCAAAATTGTAAATGTATTTTATTGGGATTTTATGCAATTGACCAACACAATGTGGCACATAATTGTGAAGTGGAAGGAAAATGATAAATGGTTTTATCATTTTTTTTACAAATAAATATCTGAAACTTGTGGCGTGCATTTGTATTCAGCCCCCTTTACTCTGATACCCCTAAGTAAAATCTAGAGGAACTAATTGCCTTCAGAACTCACCTAATTAGTAAATAGAGACCACCTATGTATAATTTAATCTCAGTATAAATACAGCTGTTCTGTGAAGCCCTTAAAGGTTTGTTAGGGAACATTAGTGAACAAACAGCATCATGAAGGCCAACGAACACACCAGACAGTTCAGGGATAAAGTTCTTGAGAAGTTTAAAGCAAGGTTAGTTTAGAAAAAAATCCCAAGCTTTGAACATCTCACAGAGCTCTGTTCAATCCATCATCCAAAAATAGAAAAAGTATGGCACAACTGAAAACCTACCGAGACATAGCTGTCCGCCTAAACTGACCTGCCGGGCAAGGAGAGCATTAATCAGAGAAGTAGCCAAGAGGCCCATGGTAACTCTGGAGAAGCTGCAGAGATCCACAGCTCAGGTGGGAGAATATGTCCACAGGACAACTATTAGTTGTGCACTCCGCAAATTCCAGCCTTTATGGAAGAGTGGCAAGAAGAGAGCCATTGTTGAAAAAAAGCCATACGAAGTTCCATTTGCAGTTCATGTGGGGGACACAGCAAACATGTGGAAGAAGGTGGTCTGGTCAAATGAGACCTAATTTAAACTTTTTGATCTAAAAGCAAAACGCTGTGTGTGGCAAAAAACTAACACTGCACATCACCCTGAACACACCATTCCCACCATGAAACATGGTGGTGGCAGCATCATCTTGTGGGAATGCTTTTATTCAGCAGGGACAGGGAAGCTGGTCAGAGCTGATGGGAAGATGGATGGTTCCAAATACACGGCAATCATAAAAGAAAACCTGTTAGTCTGCAAAAGACTTTAGACTAAGGAGAAGGTTCACTTTTCAGCAGGACGACTCTAAACATAAAGCCAGAGCTACAATGGAATGGTTTAGATCACAGCATATTAATGCGTTAGAATGGCCCAGTCAGAGTCCAGACCTAAATATAATTGAGAATCTGTGGCAAGATTTGAAAATTGCTGTTCAGACGCTCTCCGCTCAATCTGACAGAGCTTGAGCTATTTTACAAAGAAGAATGGGCACAAATGACACTCTCTAGATGTGCAAAACTGGTAGAGACATCCTCAAAAAGACTTGCAGCTGTAATTGCAGTGAAAGGTGGTTCTACAAAGTATTGACTCCGGGGGGCTGAATACAAATGCACGCCACACTTTTCAGATATTTATTTGTAAAAAGTGTTGAAAACCATTTTATCATTTTTCTTCCACTTCACAATTATGTGCCACATATGTAACATGAAAATATTTTGGAAAATTTCAAGGGGCATGAATACTTTTTCAAGGCACTGTACATTTTCAGGTTGTGGATTTGTCTCTTCAAGCTCACTACATTCTAGAATCCTTCAGAAGGCAGGGGGAAGCAGTCAAGCCTGCAGCCCAAGAAGCCTAGGTACAGTCCAAATCAATCACAAGCTCCCCCACTGATTACAGGGGAGCCAAAAAGAGCTAAATTTACCTAGCCTGTCCAGCAGCCTAACTCAGAGGGTGCTACAATTCAATCCAGATGAGCTTCTCACGAATACAGTGAATAATGCTCCCTAAATTAGAGCTTATTATCTTCCAGTAACCACACTTGAGATTCTACCTGAGACACACTGAAGACATTATATAAAAACTGAACAGATTTGAATGACGCAATTACATATTTTTAAAGCAATTTTAGAAGCAAAAAGAGGTTATACTTTGGCAAGAAGTAACCAATGAGTCTGTTATTTATTCAGGCAATATATTAAAATGATACTGTTTTGTTGCATAGAATATCATATTTTTTTATATTCAAATATTTTTTATTAAAGGATTTTTAATACACAAAACACTGTACATTAGCATTGATATGAAAGAAAAAGGTTCACATTCAGGTATAGCATTCAGTGTATGTAAGAGGGTCCCCACCAATTGGCTGGGGAGGCTGTGGACTTAAGTCGCGCTTACATGAGAGGTATGCTCAGATTAGAGTGAACCGTGTTGGAGTAGAAGTGCGGTTTATATTGAAAAGGGGGCAGAGGGGGGAAAAGAGGGGAGAAGAAGGCACCTGATAGATGTTTGGGTCATAGAATGGAGTTATTTTGTGGTTATTTTATGGAGCAATTGGGATTTTTTAACCAACGAGACCACTGAAATTCGAATTTCTGTTGTGAAGAATTATGGAAGGTTGTTCTTCTTTCCATCTCAAATTGGAGTTTAAGGTCGGATAGGAGAGCTGCTAGAGAAGGAGTTTTTGTGGATTTCCACAGTTTAGTGATATTGATTTTAGCCACAGCTAATATGTGTATAATGATGGTACGTGTGTCTGTAGGGAATTTGTCTATTCCTATGTGTAGGAGAGCAAGGGATGGGTTTGGGGTCATAGGGACTCCAGTGATAGAAGAAGTCAATTGAAAGACTTTATTCCAGTAGGATTTGAGGGATTTACATGACCAAAATAAATGTAGTTGTCAGGAATGGACTCAGCACTGGTGGTGGGACTCGCCTGCCGTGTGGGCTGCAGTACCAGAGCTGACCAGCGGGTGTTCTCATCAGCCAGAAGCTCACACGTGCAATCAGCAAACCTGGGGCTGATTGCAGAAAGGTGTATTTAAGCCATGACCAGGCCTGTGCTCTGTGCCTTGGTGTATGTTTTCCCATGAGCCTCTGTACCTGGTATCCTGTGTTCCTGCTTCATTGCTGACCCGGCTTGATTCTGACCTCTGCTGACCGTCTCCTGTTGAACCCCTGGCTTGCCTGACCATCCTTCTGCCTGATCCCCTGTACCGCGCTGTCCGTGAGTTACTGAACCCGGCTTGTGACCTTGACCATTCTCTGCCTGCTCCTTTTGGTACCTTGCTGCCCGCACGTTGCTGACTTGGCCCGTCTGACCACGCTAACTACTCTGCCATCCATCCATCCTGCACTGATCCAGCCGTACCTGCACATACCTCTGGCGGACCCCTCTACCACTAGCAGGTGTACTCAGGGGCCGCGACCTGGTTCCTGTCTGCTCCAAGTCCATCCCCACCATCAGGGGCCCTGGTGAATAAGCAGACTGGGACTTAGACTCCGCGCCCTGGGGAATCCTGTCCTGGGGACCACTAGAGGTACCACCAAACGGTCATTACAGAACCCTACGGCCGGCCTGACCGTTCCACCTCTCCAGCCCTGACTACGCCTGTGTTCCTGCTTCGTTGGAAGGTTGGTTTGTTCACTGTGTGTTTATATATATATCTGGGTGGCTAATAATAAACTGTATTATACTGTACCTGAGACCTGCGTTTCCCTGTGTCAGTCCACACCTTTCTGGTCATTCCTAGATTCCTGACATCACACCAAGGCCTTTCCTGACCAGAAGTGGCTGCACAGGGAAGCCATCTTGACTTGTTGTGAAGGATGCATCCTGATGAGGTTATATATTTGTCTATGCTAGTCTTTGATGACAGAGAATATGCCTATCAGACTCTGCGGGAGTATACCAGGGATCAGCTACTAGAGTGCATACGGGTCGCTCATTCCCTAGTAGGTCAGGTCCTAGAGCTCTCTGAGGTGCAACCATTGATTCAGGCTTGTGTTGAGTTGGCTTCATCTAGTACCCCTGAAAGCAGGGATGACTTCCTTCCTCCATTCAGGGCGAGTCAAATAATATCACTGGTATGGTTGTTGGAGGATGATCCGGATTGCTTCTTGGAGCATTATTCAGCATGTTCACCACATGTGCTAAAGAAATGTATAAACACAGTGCAATCTTTAACCAGACAGGCCTTGTGTAAGCTGAGCGTTGTCCAACCCTTACTGCAGACATGGTCAGACTTGTTACACCCAGCCTCAATCAGCTTGCAACGAACCAGTCCTGTTTCTCATCATTCCTCTGCTCAAAGCTCTTTTCCTGCATTCCCGACAGCACCCCCAGTGACAGCCCCCCCAGTGACAGCCCAGTATACCCTGCTATCTACCACATGTCAGTACCCTGCTCCCACTCGCTGTACCATCGTGCCAGTTGACTCGGTGCCCGCTGTCGTGCCAGTCGACTCGGTGCCCGCTGTCGAGCCAGATGACCTGATGCCTGAGGACCCAGTGCCCGCTGTTGAGCCACATGACCTGATGCCTGATGACTTGGTGCCCGCTGTCGTGCCAGTTGATTCAGTGCCCACTGTTGTGCCAGTTAATTTGGTGCCTGCTGTCGAGCTTGGTGACCCGGTACCCGCAGTTCTGCTAGATGGCTCGGTGCCCGCTGACATGCCCGGTGACTCGGTGCCCGCTGACTTGCCAGGTGACTCTGTGCCCGCGGCTCTGCTAGATGGCTCGGTGCCCACTGACATGCCCGGTGACTCGGTGCCCGCTGACTTGCCAGGTGACTCTGTGCCCGCGGTTCTGCGGGATGGCTCGGTGCCCGCTGACATGCCCGGTGACTCGGTGCCCGCTGACTTGCCAGGTGACTCTGTGCCCGCGGTTCTGCTAGATGGCTTGGTGCCCGCTGACGTGCCCGCTGACTCGGTGCCCGCTGTCGTGCCAGATGACTCGGTGCCCGCTGACGTGCCTCTGCCCGTTGCACAGCCCGACATGCCAGCCCCTGATGTCCAGCTAAACTGGCCAATAACTGATTCCCAGCCTGCTCCTGGAAATCCTGTGCCTAGTGACCTGCCTTCCTGGGTTCTCCTACACAAAGAGAAGTCTACCAGCAGGAAACCCAGCCAGCCGGTTTACTCCGGCAGTTGGATATTCAGCCAGTTACCTGACCCGGGCGGTGGAACACTTTGCCCACTAAGGACTGTCTGGAGCGTCTTGAGGCCGCTCCTTGAGGGGGGGGTACTGTCAGGAATGGACTCAGCACTGGTGGTGGGACTCGCCTGCCGTGTGGGCTGCAGTACCAGAGCTTACCAGCGAGTGCTCTCAGCAGCCAGAAGCTCACACGTGCAATCAGCAAACCTGGGGCTGATTGCAGAAAGGTGTATTTAAGCCATGACCAGGCCTGTGCTCTGTGCCTTGGTGTATGTTTTCCCATGAGCCTCTGTACCTGGTATCCTGTGTTCCTGCTTCGTTGCTGACCCGGCTTGATTCTGACCTCTGCTGACCGTCTCCTGTTGAACCCCTGGCTTGCCTGACCATCCTTCTGCCTGATCCCCTGTACCGCGCTGTCCGTGAGTTACTGAACCCGGCTTGTGACCTTGACCATTCTCTGCCTGCTCCTTTTGGTACCTTGCTGCCCGCACGTTGCTGACTTGGCCCGTCTGACCACGCTAACTACTCTGCCATCCATCCATCCTGCACGGATCCAGCCGTACCTGCACATACCTCTGGCGGACCCCTCTACCACTAGCAGGTGTACTCAGGGGCCGCGACCTGGTTCCTGTCTGCTCCAAGTCCATCCCCACCATCAGGGGCCCTGGTGAATAAGCAGACTGGGACTTAGACTCCGCGCCCTGGGGAATCCTGTCCTGGGGACCACTAGAGGTACCACCAAACGGTCATTACAGAACCCTACGGCCGGCCTGACCGTTCCACCTCTCCAGCCCTGACTACGCCTGTGTTCCTGCTTCGTTGGAAGGTTGGTTTGTTCACTGTGCATTTATTTATATATATATATATATATATATATATATATATATATATATATATATATATCTGGGTGGCTAATAATAAACTGTATTATACTGTACCTGAGACCTGCGTTTCCCTGTGTCAGTCCACACCTTTCTGGTCATTCCTAGATTCCTGACAGTAGTGTTGATCCTATCTCTCCACAGTGTCTCCAGCAAGTAGGTGAGTGTTGAGGGTAATATAGTGCAAGTTTAACAGGCGTCAAGTACCACTGGTGAAAAATTTTCATATGTGTTTCCCAATGGGAACTACATTTAGAGGCTTTATATGTGATATTGAAAGTTCTTTCCCAGGTTTGTGGGTGTATTGGTTGAGAGAGAATGTTCTCCCAATTGGTTAGAGAGGTAGTATGAAGCGTAAACTGTGCTTTGGTTATGAGCGTGTAGAAGGTCGAGATTCCTTTCTTTGGATATTGTGTCTTATGGAGGAATTGGTGTGCGGTAGTAGGGATTGTGAGTTCAAATGGTATAGTTTATTTTGTGTAGGGAGTGAGCTATTCGCATATAAGTAAAGTTCTTTTTGTCAGGAAGGTGGAATTTCTCCTGTAGAGTGGAGAATGAGTCTAGGTTGTGGTTTGTGCATATGTCTTGGATTTGGGAAATGCCTCAATTCTCCCATTGCGTCAGATTTAGATAGGGAATAATGAAGTGGAAAGTGGTGTAGGAATTCGTTTAGTATCTGTATCTGACTTGTTGGAACTTAAGAAGTCATACCAGGCGTTTAGTGAGGCTTGTATGCAAGGATGCTTAGATAAAAGATGGGATTGGGACGTTTGGGGTAAGAATAACATTTTATCAAGTGTGTGTGGTAGTTGTGGAGGAGTTTCCATGGTGGTCCACGTTTTTTCATTGGTAGGGTGCCACCAGAAAAAGAGCTGGTCTAGAAGGGAGGAATTGTAGTATGATTTTATATGGGGAAGGCCCGCCCCCCCTTTGGAGGCTGGACGTATTAGGAGGCTTGTGGAGCATCTAGGTTTTTTTGAGTTCCATACGAACTTGGCTATTGATGCTTGGAGTTTGGAAAAGAAGATATTGGGGACAGGAATGGGGAGTGTGCGGAATATATAAAGTATTTTGGGTAATATGCACATTTTTAGGGTTGCTACTCTTCCCAATGTCGACAAAGTTGATGTACGTAAATTTTTCAATTCATGTGGGATGGTTTCAAGGAGTGGTTTGTGGTTGGCAGCATATAGTTGGGAGGTAGTGGCGGTGAGTTTGATCCCAAGATATGGAATGCTGTAATGTTCCCAGGAGAAAGGGAAATGTTTAGTCAGTGTATTCTGGAGAGTCGTGGGTGTGTAGAGATTTAGGATACAGGATTTGGGTTCATTAAGTTTATAGTAAGAGACTTCTGCATAGTTCTTAAAATGTGAACATATTGGAGTGATTTATAGGGGTTGGTGATCATTAGGATGATGTCATCTGCAAAGAGGCTGATTTTGTGTTCTTTTTTAAGGTCGGTAATTCCTGAGAAAGTTGGGTCATCTCTGAGTTTAGATGCCAACGGCTCGATTAGTAGGGTAAAAAATTATGGGGGATAGGGAACAGCCCTGTCTCGTGCCATTGGATAGGAGAAAGGGTTGTGAAAGAGCGCCGTTAGTTAAGATTTTGGCAGACGGGTTGGAGTAGAGGGATAGGATTGCCGATAACATCCAGTCTGTAATGCCAAATTTTTGGAGTGTAAGTTTCGTAAATTGCCAGTGAATTCGGTCGAATGCTTTTTCAGCATCTAGCGACAAAAGTAGGGAGGGTTGATTAGTGGATTCGAGGTTACGTAAGAGGGATATGATTCGTCTAGTTGCATCTGGTGCCTGACGACCAGGGATGAATCCCACTTGGTCAGGATGAATTAACGTAGGTAGGAAGGGGAGCAATCGTTGGGCAATTATTTTGGCGTAAAGTTTTATGTCAGTGTTCAGAAGTGAGATGGGTCGGTAGTTCTGGACCAATTGTGGGTCTTTACCCGGTTTTGGAATAGTCATGATTATCAATTGAAGCATTTCGATAGGGAAATCTCCTGTAGAGGGGCGTGGTTGAATAGTGCAGATAGGTGTGGTGAGAGGTTTTGTGTAAATATTTTATAGAACTCATTGGTGAAACCGTCATTTCCTGGTGATTTATTTAGAGGTAAGGTTTTTATATTGTGTTCCACTTCTGTAGGAGAAATTGGAGTGGAGAGCGCTGTGAGTGGGGATGACATGAGTTGGGGAAGATTAGTCGTGGCTAGGAAGTTTTTGTATGGAAGCAGTTGTTGGTTGGGTTGTGGTTGGGTCATCTTTAGTGTTATATAGATTTTGGTAATAAGTTGCGAACGCGTTGGCTATGTCTTGCGGGTGTGTAAGTAAGGCATTTGTGGTCGGGTGTTGAATCGTAAGGATTTTAGATTTGAGCCGTTTTTGTTTAATTATTTTCATTAAAAGAGAGTTTGCTTTATTGCCGAGTGCGTAGAATTTAGATTTTGTTTTTTTGGAGGTTGAGGTCATATTTATGTAGTAGAATAGTTTGTACTTTGTTTCTGTCTTGGGTCAGGGATGTGGAAGGGTTAGGGTTTTTTTGTTTTCTTCGTTTAGTTTAATGGAAGATAAAAGTTGGTCAATTTGTTGGGATCGTTGTTTATTGATACGGGAGTTTAGTTGTATGAGAATACCTCTCGCCTTGTAAGCGGACCATATTGTGGTTATAGGTATATCAGGGGTGGATTTGAATTCAAAGAATAAGTTGTGGGCTTTCAGTAGGTATTTCTGGTTATCTGAGTCTTTCAAAATGCAGAGTTCAGTCTCCAGATGGGCGGGATTGCTGATCTTCGATTATCTTCTAAGGATATATTGATTGGGGCGTGGTCTGACAAGGTTATGGTACCGATTGTGGACGATATCACGTGTTGAAGTGTTCATTTGTCTCTGATGAAAAAGTCTATCCTGGAATAGGAGAGGTGAGAAGGGGAATAATAAGTATAGTCTCTCTCGTTGCTGTGTTGGCATCTTCAGATGTTGTAAAGGTCGGGGTTATGCAGAAATTGGTTGAAGTGTAGGTTGTGAGATCTTTTGTTAGAAGACGTATCCAACAAATGATTGCCAATAACGTTGAAGTCTCCGCCGATGATGAGTCTGCCTTGTGTTTGATTTGAGATGATGGAGTGGAGTTTACGGTAAAATTTCAAATTATTGTTGTTGGGGCCGTAGACATTGACTAGAGTGTAGAGAACATCATTTACTTGACACATTAAGATGTGGTAGCGACCTTGGGGGTCAGTGGTTTCCGAGATGTACTTGAACTGAACAGAGTCCTTTATAGCTGTGATAATACCGTTTTTTTTTTTTCTTTGGGTTAGTAGCCATATAGATATGTGGGAATCGCTTAAGTTGCAGTCTGGGGATCTTGTTTGTGGCGAAGTGCGTTTCTTGTAAGAAAAGAATGTCAGCCTGAAACGTTCGGGTTTCTTTTTGAAGCATCGATCTTTTGAACGTCGAGTTTAGGCCGCGAACATTAAGAGATGTGATATTAATCATAATGGAAATCTGTAGAATGATGTACAGGGTAGTTGAGTTGTTGAATGGGGAAATCGAAGTTGAGTGGGTGCATCTTTGAGAGATGGAAGGTCTGCAATTTTGTGGTAACGATTGGGCTCGATAGATGAGTCAGAAGGGTATTCCACGAAACTTTGTTAAAGGTGAGTTTCAAAGTATAGTTGGTCGACTGGTGGTGCCAGGGTAGAGGAGGAAGAGGAAAGTAGAGGGAAATAAAAAAGAACTTGCGAACAATGCAAGTAACCTGAGTAGCGCGGTGTGCTACTTCAGAACTGGGGGGTTTGAACAGGCTTTGACTGTGAAGAAGGTCATGCCACACATTTTCTTGTAGTATGAACATTTTTCTAAACTGGGCAGATCGCCAGAGGATAGCAGATCGGGGTATAACACTTGAGATGAAGAATAGGTGGTGTGCAGGAGGTGTACTTTTTCAGGATTCTTCTGCCTCCATGTGTTGGCTATTAGTTGGGGTAGATTGCTGTGTATCCGGGGGTAGGATATTCCAAGCCTTAAGCAAGTCTAGGCCCGCTTCAAGGGTCTAGATTGTGTAAATTCTTCCATGTTGTTTCAAGGATAATTTTGTGGGGAAACCCCATTGATAGCCCATGCCGTGGTTTCTGAGGGCTTTGGTTGATAGTGATCATCTTTTTTCGGTTAAGAAGCGTGCTTTTTGACAGATCTGCGAATAGTCGAATATTTGCATTAGATGTTGGGAGCGAGGGTGGGTTTCTGGCTGCCATCATGATTTTTTTTTTTTATGTGGTAGAAATGAACACGCGCCAGGACATCTCTCGGGATGGATGCTGACAGGAATGAGGGCTTGGGTAGTCGGTGGGGGCTCGGTCTATAGCCATCTCTAGGTCAGAGAGGGCAGGAATGAGGTGTTTTATATATTGTTGTATATATGGTAAGAGTGCCTCATTAGTGA